CCCCACACCCACACCCACACCCTCACAAAAAAATCGATATTTTTCAATAGACATATGTTCTTATGTGATAATAAAAAAGCTTATCTAAAAAAAAAAGACTCTTTGATGCACTTCATCTTGACATGCTCTTTCAATAAAAAAAAAGTTAGGTATTATGCTAGCATGAACGGAGAATTCTCGCCTGTGTGTTTGAGACAAGATGATCTAAGAAAAAGTGAAAAAGATCTCCTGTTTTTTACGAAAAAACTCTATTTTTTTGCAGAAGATGATGAAAATCATGATTAATTTCGGGCAAACATGAAGTATTAAATTAAAAACCATACTTTTTTTGAAAGATCACACTGCAGGCTATCTTTTCATGCATTTACCTACTTTCTGACGTTTTTGACGAAAATGCACTTTTTTGAGGAGGTGTTCTAATAAATATTGACTACCTAATAAATATTTATACGTTTCAGCACATGATGAAGAGGAATTTCAAATAACTGTTGATTAAAATCATAAGACTTCATGTGCTTTTTGTGTTTCTAAGTGTTTATATGATTGTCATCATCAGTTTTCTCTCAGTAATGTACAGAGAATTGTTGATTACAAACAATACATGTTGCCTGAGATGAGTGTAATTTATATTCTTTTAAAACTCTTTGATATTCGACGATTTTAAGCCATTCTTTGTGAAACACGCTTTGCTTCGATTTCCTTTCTTTTTGGTTCAACTTCCGAACACATGGGTATTTGTTCAGCAACTACTAATATTTTGATATTATTTTCCTTAGTAATCGTGCTGTCATTATCATCTTCACTTAGTTTCTCTATCCCTGTGTCATTACTAATCATATTAATTATTTATGCTTATCAACCCAATACACAAAAGAATGTATATGTTGGTTTGTACGGAATAGATGGCTAATACAAAATACAATAGAAAGAGAAACATAAATTGAGAAAAGATTAAAAACCAAAAATATACATTGCTATTTATTTCTAGTCAGTAGAAAATACAGATCATTTTTGTAAAATTGAAAGAATTAGAATAAAACAAGGCTACCAGTATCTATTGATAAGGATTTTTCTATAATTATGAAAAAAAAACTTCTAGATAAAAAAAATCTTGGTTAAAAATATAAATAACACGATATTAAAAAAGCAGAAAAGGTGGCAGCTCTGCTATGGAGTTATAATACTATCTTTTCCCCTGAATATTCGTAAAAAACAAAAATAAACAAACGAACAAGTATCAGACTATTTAATGAAATTAAACGTCTTACTTTGTCTCGTTAATAACATGTCGTTGTTGTTTTAGAGCATGCGAATCGATCAGATGTTGTAAACCTTGTATCCACATATTTTTTGTACTTTCATCTTTTGCAGATAAATGAAGTTCATCACGATAATTATTGTAGTAGAGAGAGAAAGCATATTGTTCCTACATATAATGTATTTCAGAGTTAATCGTTAAGTATAAATAGAAAAGAAAAGTCATAGTGAATTAATTGATCGATATTTAGAAGTTTCAAACAAATTCAATTATAAATAATTAGTTAAATCTTGTTACTTACATGATTTCGATCGGCAATATCATGATTGACAACTTGATCAAATGTTGAATTTTGTAAACCAGAACGAATTTCGTTTATTTCGTGTATGTAATCTATGGATCAAATATAAAAAAAAAATGAGTATTTCTTAATTCTAAAATATTTTCTAATTTTTATATATGATAAAAAAAAATACAAAAAGTATTCTATTATACTTACAACGATGTGGTTGAGTAAAAATCTTTTCCGATTGACGATAAGACACAAAATCTTCATGCTCATGAAGATAGAAATGACGGGGATACTTCTCACCATTTTGTTTTCTTTTTATGAATACGGTACCAGTCTTCATCTCGTTTAAAAATTGAGTCACATCTTCGCTGTTTGTTAACGACATTTTATTTTTCGTTTGTATTCGTTATTCTAGCTTTACTGATCATGAAAAAGAACAGAACATGAATCATTGAATTATTATTAATGTTATCTTATACATCACAGTAAGTGCAAAAAAAACTAAGTTACATCAAAAAAATATATTTATCACTATTTGGTTGACAAAATTCTATTTAAAAAGATGAGATAATTGTTTGGAAATCTTTTCATTTCATTAATCACTTATGATGAAAGCTTTCGAACTAATTCATATTGTTTTCAATAATATTTTGTCCATATGTTAGGAAGATTATTCTAAGAAAAATCGCTAGAGAGTTAGAGAAAATCGAATTTCCTTCGATGGTTATGAGAATTTTACTGGTTTTTCCACTTGGTAAAAGATATTTACAGAAGAATTGAACGATGAAATTTCAATCTGAAATGTGGCTCATACGTAACTCTCGTGGTTATTCGAATATACTTTATGCTAAGTGAAAAAGTCGATAAAATAACCATAACCTTCGAGGAGGGACGTTTGAACAGCACAAGCCTTCTTTGGATTTTTCGTACAATAATGTGCCCAACATATGAACAAAATGTTCTTGAAAATGGCGTAGATTAATTGGAGATCTTCCTTCGTTAGTGACTATCAAGAGATAGAGAAATAGTTCGTTTTATACATTCTACTAACGATAAGTTATAGTTGATGCATGAATAACAAAAAAAAAAAAAAAAAAAAAAAATAAGGCATGCTTCAATGGTTTACATACATATATCACCAATAAAGAGAAGAAAAAAAAACCATTATCTCATATAAGTGTAACATATATTCGATCCTTGTTCTCTTTATTTATCGCAAGTATATGATTGTGTTTTTTTATCCTTGAAAGTATAATACATACTTTTCTCGTTATACATAAATTAAAAACCAAAAACAAAAAGAAAATTAATTATATTTTTTATTCTATCGATATAATGACTTTCAATTTAAGCTATTAAAAAATACTGACGACCACTGATCGGAATTGAGGTGTCAATAGTCTTTCAAACATTAGGATATATGTGACTATATAAGAAAACTATTGTTTTTTTTTGTAAAAAGTTTTCTCGATATTCACTTGTCACATTCACTTGATTTTGACTCATTTTGTTTCATGTCGAAAAACAAATGTTTCGGTAAGGAAATCAACTTGTTGATAACTAAGCGATTCAATAGTAATAAGTTAGCTCTAGTACGTTTTGTTTTCTCAAAACTCTTTCTAGCTAACATGATTTTATATTAACCACCATTTTCAATATCAAACTGCTCACTCTTTAAAGAAAGGTACTTCAAGGCATTTTAATTTAAGTAAATTTAATAAAGTTATTGTAGAACTCATTTAAAAATCCTTAAACTATTATGAAGAATGATTTATTAAAAAACTGGTCATATCATTACGATATTTATCATGAAAAACATTCAGTAGATTTCTTTTGTCGATTTTATTCAATGAGAAATACTGTTTTTATTCTAAATTAGAATTTTCTTCATTACTTTTCGAATTGTAACTACGAAAAATTACATTCAACGAATAAATACTTGAAAACGAAACTCAAATAAATATTGTGTGATCATTTTCTTTTGGAAACACTATTTTTGCGTTCGACTAAAATATTCAAATGTCCATATGATGAATATTTTGATCATTAGCAGAATGGATTCTTAGGGGTGTGAGTGTGAATGTTCTCTTCAGAGACATGCATAGCCCTCATCTGATTTCGAAATCGTTATGAAATTGGTGATTGACCACGATTTATCAAAACAATAATTACGCACTGAAACCTAATCAATCATCACTTTTTTGCTTTATTTACGCAGATATTGGTGATAAATTATGATGTCCTCTCTAATTCTTCCCTCTCAGAGATGGGGGAGTCCGAGTCATGACTCGGACTCGAAAATTGTGAAACGTTGACTCGATTGTTTGACTCGAGTCATTCGTTCAAAAAAGCAAAAGTTGATTATTCAACACCAAAATCAATTTCAGAAGAACTTGATGGTTTTCTGTGAGAAGAAATTGAACCAGTGATCTTATTTTCAATAAAGCAGATCCATATCGATCTCTTAATAGCCTTGCTAGAAAATCATGTGTGCTTCTGCTACATTAGCACTAGTTCAACATGCTTTTTCTGAAAGCGATCTTTTAATGAAATCGGATGGTTCCAAGTTTTTACAAGCAAATATTTGCATTTAACATCCTTAAAGTGCAATAAGACATTAGTTTAAATATGAATAAATAATTGTTGCTTAACAACCTTAAGGCTTCTTCTTCCCCCTCAAAAAAGTCAGTTTTCGTCAAAAATTTCGGAATTAAGATAAATGCATGGAAAGATAGCCTGAAGGTTAGTCTTTCAAAAACAATATGATTTTTAATTTAATCCTTCACTTTTAGCCAAAAATTTTGATAATTTTCGTTGAAAAATACGCATTTTTCGGATAAAACAGAAAATGTTTTTCGTTTTTTCTCAGTTTACACTTTATCAATCGTGCATTCTAAATTTCTTCGTCCAGACTCGTTTGATATATTAAATTTTTGCTTGATTGAAAGAACATATTAAGACGCAGTACATGACTGAGCCCTTCTTTTAAATTAAGCTTTGTTTTTATTATATATACAGACACTTATATGATTAGACACCCATTTCTTGAGAATTTTTTGAGTCATTGAATTTGTGATTTCTTTTCATCGTTAAAACAGTAAGTATTTAAACAAACGGGCTCGGTCACATACCACATGCTGACAGGCTCTTTTAAACAAAAAAAAATTAAACATATAGAATGAGCCTGGACAGAGGAATTTGGGATGTCAAATCAGCTATTTTTGACTCTTGTTTAGCGAATATCTCTGTCAAACGTCATGATATCGAACTGAAAATGTTATCGTAGCCTCCCCACTATAGCTCCAATATACTCCGAATATTTCATGCAATGTAAACGCATCTGGACTGAGATCGGTTTTTGCTTACAAAAGTGACGTTTTTTTTCCTGTATTATATAACTCTATAAGAGAGAAGAGTCGATTTTACCGTTCTTATTTTTTTGATAAATCTATAGTAGTTGTGTCATTTTATTTTTGTAAGACTATTCTTCTTTTGTACATAAAAAAAAACTTGAAAAAATATCGTACCATGAACAACTGATTGTTATCGTTCTTTATAAAAATAAACGGAAAACGAAAAAAATGGTAAAAATATCTTGACTCGACTCGAAGCCGCTACGAAATGACTCGCATTCGACTCGAAAAATGACTTGACTCGCCCATCGCTGTTGTTCGACAAAACGAATTCTGACATCACCATCTTATAATATGAAAAGCTCGTAATAGTAATAGTTTGTTTGTGCAATTGAATATTTTTTTGTAGAATTTATTTTTACTTAAGTTCCGTCTGTACAAAACTCTGACATTGTTGACGAAACTGATATTATCACAGCAGGCGAGCTAGGGATGGGCGAGTCAAGCCATTTTTCGAGTCGAGTCGAGTCCGAGTCATTTCGAAATGGTTTCGAGTCGAGTCAAGTCGAGTTACCGAGACTTCCGAGTCGAGTCGAGTCGAGTCAAGTTAATTTTATTATTTTTTTTCTTTTCTGTTTATTTGGCTAAAGAACATTAACAATGAGTTTTTCAGAAGATGATGTTTAGTTCTTAGTTTTTATGCACAAAAAGAAGGGAATAATCCTACACAAGATAAAATGGTACAGCTACTACAGATTTATCAACAAAACCGATCATCAAGACGAACTCTTCTCTTAAATAGAATTCCACACCAAAATCACAAAAGGGTCATTTTTTTATGAGGAGAACATGAAATGAAATCTGTTTACTAGCAAAATTCTACTATGTATATTTAGTTAGCAGAAAAGATTTGTTGTAATCGCAAAATTGTCTAACTGCGAAATGATCAACAAAAAACCGCAGTATTTTATCGCCAATTTCGCCGAAACATAAATTAATTAAAACGGAACAAGGTGTTCCAATAACTGAAACTCAACTTTTCTAATCTTATTTGATCTTGAATACGACTGTGGCTTATAACAACTTTATATACCAAGAGAGACTGACAAGTCGAAGCCGTAATTACCACAGAAGCTAGTCGATCAATGTACTTACTACACAATACCAAAGAGAAGTTTTTCATTTGAACTTGTTCATCTCGAGATAGTGTTAAATTAGAGAATAAGTAATTTCCTAAACAAGATATGCCAGGCACTCTTGTGGAAAATACTTATACTAATTCAATCAACTAATCAGCTGAAGGTAAATTCTATATTAGAAAACGGATAAAAGGAATGTATTTTTAAGTAATCGACGAAAAGTAAATCCTCAAAGGTGGAAATTTTATCATTTTATAAAGGCGATAATTAAAATTGGAAACAACCTACGAAGGCAAATCTACAGAAAATAAATCGTCGAAACCACTCGAAATACTTTTTCTATTTGTTATTTTTGTTTTCAATTATGCTAAATTTGCTGATCAAAACACTAATTTTTTGATAATCATGCTGCAGTTAGACAATTTTAGTGATTAAAGCTCAGGTTTTTGGTGTTTAAAAAAAATGCTTACTCATGGATAAATGTTTTTTTTCGCTTCACAGATAATCCAAAACAAAACAGAAGGAGACAATATATATATATATATATATGCATCCTGTAATACGTGTAGACTAAGATTTACGATCATATAAATAAATAAGTGAAACAAAGCTTTTAAAGAAAACGTTCTAATGGCGTATATTCCATTAGAATGAAAATTGGGAATCAGAAAAAATTTAGTTCTATATATTGTGATTTTTTTATAAAAGCAAATAAAAATTTTCTCGAGTGAATGACTCGAGTCACACAGTCGAGTCAACATCATCCGATTTCCGAGTCCGAGTCGAGTCCGAGTCAGTAAAAAAATGTGACTCGAGTCGACTCGAGTCCGAGTTTTGACTCGGACTCGCCCATTCCTGGGCGAGCTTATATTTAATCAATGAATTGGTTGATCAATGTCTGAAGATTGAAATTAAGTTTTTATCAAATTTCTAAACCTACAACAAGAATAATACGTGAATCTTGATCATTAACATATATGAACACAAGTTTCAAACAGAGGCTCGAGTAACAACTATAGTTTTAACCTTTTTTCCCTTCGTTTTTCTTAGGTAAGTATTCATTATAAACGACATTGAATAGGTTTAATATTGTTTGTAGTTCGACCTTTTCATTTTATTTATTTAATCAATTTATAAAAATCAGGAACATGACACATTTACAGTATATTATTTGTTAAAAAATTAAATAAACAATTATTTATTCTTCAATTTTTCGATACTTTAAAATTTATTAAAACTTCACCACTGAGGTTAATTGTGTCTGACACATATCCACGAGTGGACTTATGATAAAGGTGAACTTTCACGAACTGAAATTTTTCAGGAGAATAGTTCGTCCCAGATGGTTGTTGAAAGTAATGGATTTATTCAGACTTAACCAATTGCAACCAGCTATCGTAATTTAGTGGCATCTTTGTGTGAAATTTATTTTTCATAGAAGAACAAAATTCAATTTCAGAAAGCATCTATTTAAGTAATTGGTGTCATGGATGTATCTTTAGAGGTTTATACTGTCGTAAATGTCATCACTGGTAGTGTATTTCAATACTGACTGGCATTTTTTGAGACGCTTTATATCGTCAGCCATTGAGCTTTTATTATTTTCTACTACTATTCATCTTTTTCATATAATGGCATCAAACAGAAAACGAAAACGTATCGGAGCTATTGATAATTATGAATTTGAAGCATTTGTTCGAGCACATCTAGCAAATGATCTTGCGGATATAATTCTTTTAACAATTGGAATTCGATCATAGAATGAACTTTTACAATCTTATGACTT